TCTAATAGTATATGACTATTCTTCGTTATTTTGGCCAACAACTCTCAAAAATAAAATTGAAATTAAACTAACTGCGTTTTCAATGTTTTCGTAATGTTTGCAAAGATTCTTCGTTATGTTTATCCAATAACTTGTGATAATTTTAGGAAAATATTAAAAAATAAAATAATTTCTTACCATTGGGCTTCCTGTGATTACAGAAATCCAAGATGGCTTCCTAGAGTGACATTTCAGGTTTTGTCATAACCACTCTCCAAAATCTTTGCGTCTATTGATCTTTGGTATATAAGGTTTATCATGCAGACCAGAGCTGTAGTTTATAAGGAAAGGGAAAGTGGAAGKGATGGAGATTTTGAACTGAAGGAAACGGTAAAACAGAGCTTTGCTGATAATTTCTATGAACTTGAAGCTGCTAAAATCAATAACTAAAGCTTAACTAGTTTAATTTTTCGTGAGAAAAGCTATGAATAACTTTAAATGCCTAAAGAAATTTAAGCAAAGCAAAGAGTCGTGTTTTGATGATCGTCCTTGGGAGTGTATGTACATGACTGTTGTTGTTCTTTCAACTGACGTTCGACAACCTTAAACCTTTATAACGGAAGTCATCTTCAAAGTCTGAAATATCCAAGACAGTCTTTATTAATGCATAATATTTAATCCTCTGAATAGCTAACATGCTTGTAATAAAGTTGATTTACTTTTCTTGGTATTTCTTTTTAATATTTGGTCCAGTTTGAGTGCCCAGAACAAGATAGCCACAGYGTAGTGGTGAAGGTCAAAGCATGTGGGCTGTCAGCAGCTACCAGATTCAAGGTGAATATTGATAAACGTATGAATAAATACGGGCAAAAAAATTGTGCAATTAACTTTTCGCATAACATATTACTCATATTTCTACTCTGTGTGCAGCAAATGTGCATTGTTGCACAAGGTTGAAACTCTCTCTACTTTAAGGCCCTGGCTAAACGAGRRAACATGTTTCCAGAAACACRTTTACCACAYGCATGTTTCCTCGATGTTTCCCAGTTTAGCCACATGCGAAACATTGCTGCGTGCAACAAATTTTGCTTCYAAGACGCAAAAATGTTTCTGCTGTGCGTCAGAAACATTTCATGCTTCCAAGACGCATGGARACAATGTTTCCTTGTTTAGCCAYGAAAGTCAACATTCTAAAAGTTCTAACTTAGCAACGCTAGCTCTGTCTTGAAAGTGCGCATGCACTAACATGTTTCCCGATGTTCCCTGACAGTTTTGCCACCTTTGGAAACATTTTAAGAAAACATGTTTCCTCGTTTAGCCAGGGCCTTAGCAACAAACTTTTTGCACTTTTAGTGGTAATATGAGCAACATTAATTTGCTCTACAACTTGCAATGTGTGTTCATTTGTCATATTCCCTTGTGATTAGAGGTTTTGCACCAACACATGTCCACAACCATAATAGAGATTTAAGTCTGCCTGTGGTTCATGGATGTCAGAACAATAAAATGCCTTTGCTCTTGGGAATAGGTCACTTACATTATGGCGTCATTTATTACCACTACCAGACTCCCTCGCACACTTTCTTTTGTTCAGTTARTTAGCACCAATTGTCTTACTATTCTCATGAGGAAATACAAATTTGAACAAGAAAGAAAATTCGCGAAGCACCTTGGTAGAAAAATAAAAATAAAAATAAAATAAATCACTTTTATTTAAGTGTCTAGTCATTCTAGCGCTTTCGCACTAATTGGGGACACTTTTCACTCACACGCATTACCACTACATTTAATATTCTATGCACACAACGCTCAGCTCACACGTTGATTTTTACGGAGGGAGGAAACCGGAGAACTCAGAGAAAACCCTCGTAGCATAGGAGAGAACAACACATCAAACAAACTCAATTCACATGTGGCAACCGCAGGGCTCGAACCAGTGACCCGACCYGTTGGACTCACAGCGGTGAAAGACGACATGTTAGYGGTGAACGCCACCCATGCTACGGCAAACCATAAAAATGCATGCCATCATGCAAAAAGCCTATTGAATTCTTTTTCATGTAAAACGATCATATTGTTCCAGCCATTTAACATGGCTATGCCATTACTTGATGGTGCAAAACCTCTATAGGATTCTTTGTTTGAGTTGAATCCATATTTATTTCAATACTCTGATCAATTTTTAGTTTGTGAAGGAGTTTGGATTATCTCTGGAAAAAGARAAACCTGTTGGTAGAGAAATATCAGGGATTGTCACTAGTGGTAAGCACTTTCACCAATTGTTGGTACRATATACAATCCCTGGCTTGCGAATGGCCCTCTAGTGTGAGACRATTGGGGAGCGTAGCAGAGAGGGATGGGTAACTATCTTGGGTGATTGATTGCATCCATACCTTCCCCACAAGGTTAACAGGGTTGGTGTYTTACCTCAGGAAATTGTCAGTATAAAAAGACGAAGATATCTTTTAAATTCAGTAATTTATATTTCATTATAGTCCATTACTACTACTTGGAATTTTTTGGARGGCCCTATATTTCTGTATATATATTTTCTAGTATGTCTGCACACATTTTGATATTATTTTTACTATAAAGGGGTTTTAATATTAGTCACTAAATAGCTACTATCTGTCAGTATCAACTTATTGTTTTTATTTCATGGTTTTACTGGATGTGCTCTATGAATAATCTTTCATCTTGTTTTTAGTGGGATCTTCCGTAACCAGGGTTACTGTGGGGGATGAAGTTACAGGTAWGGTTAAAAAATATAAATTATTTATAAATGAACAAAAGTTTGTGCACCTTTCTTACTTACACGTAGCATTGTATTTCTCCTTATTATGTCTTTTAGGTCTCGTTCCAGTGAACAGCAGATCTGCTGGTTGTGCTACATTCTGCGTCGTTTCAGAATTTGATTTGGGTTGGTATCTAAACCATGAAACTAGCACAGTTTCCCTATTCCTTTCTCATTCTCATTTTTCATTTCCCATTTAGTTTCCAAGCCTGAAAAGATAGGTCATGTAGATGCTGCAGGATGCATAGGAGATGGCGTTCGAGCTTACACAGCCCTGCATTACCAGGCAAAACTGTGTGGGGGAGAGACAGTCCTGATATTTGATGGAGCTTCGGTAMGGCTATTAGGGACCTACTTGCAAGAGAATACCATACACTGTGGAAACTATGACAAGAAAGTAACCTTTGTGTAATATTTTTAAGTCTTCAGGTCTGATTATGATTCAACTGGCACAGTCCTGGGGTGCCAAGGTAGGAAGTAGTGATTGTGAATGTAAAGCCAAATGTAATTGGTGGCATGGTGTAAAATGGAATGGAKGAATGGGATAGTCAGGATGGAATGATCAGGTTGGATGGGAAAATCAAGGTAAAAGTGGGATGAATGGGATAGATGGATGAATAGGATGTTCATTGACTGGGATGAATAGAATACATGGAAGGATTGGGTTATTAGATGGGATGGGTGAATGAATGCATGGGATGATTGATACTACTGTTGGATGATAGGATGGTTGGATGAGATGTTCAATCAATGGATATAGATGATCAGGACAGATGTGATGAACAAGGTGTATTTGGTTGGTAAATTGATGGATGGATGGGAAAAATGGATGGACTATATAATTGTCTATTATATAATCTATATTCATGTGTCTTCTCATGTGCAACCATTAAACAAAGAAATAATTGCTCTCTATGGAATAACATGTTTGAAATGGGAAAACATTTCTGTGGCTCAAGCTAAAAGGGTCTATTTTTCTTAAAGGTTATCACAACAGCCTCAACAGAGGAGGAAATGCTGCTTTTGGAAAGTCTACAACCACCTCTGAGTAAGTTGACAAAGTTGCAGGCTGAAAGTTTGAGGTGTACTATCTCATTACTAAGTGGYGCAAACAACTTCATGACTGTTTAACTTTTAGTATTTTATATCTCTTCCTTTTTTGTTTTGCAGCAAAAGTAATAGACGTCAGAAARGTTGAATCCTCTTTAGTTGATATTTGTATGGAAGAAACTGGTGGRGTAGGAGTGGACTGCGTAGTTGATAATGGAGGTATTTATATCTATGTTTATTGCTCCAGTGCTTATCATTAATTTTTGTAGATATTGTTATTGCAATAGAGTATTGAAAAATAATGACCAACTAAAAGACACTGAAGTGAGGGAGCCACTGTAACCCACTATAGGTGTTAGGGTCAACCCTCCCTTATTTAAAATACAGGTATGTYCTAGATGGCATCCTTCCACTTTTCAAAACATGTCTTACTACCATTATTGTTGAAGTGCAATCCCCAAAGTTTAATGTCCTGTTCACCTACTAGCATATCAATGACCAGATCTGCAATTTAAAGCCTCGTTTACACTGGCAATTTTTGCTGCAATTTTCATGGCAATTTTTGGAAATATGAAATCTTTTGTCTCATCCTTTAAAAGAGACATTYGTCTARGAAAATCTTGGTRTCCTGAAAAAAACTTTACAAGTTAATTCTTTACCATTATTTATTATGGACAGAATCGCCGCAAAAATCGCCGCAAAAATCCCTAGTGTAAACAGGGCTTTAAATAACTATTATTTCTATATCTTAAGGGAGAGTTTAGACTGAATTAAATATCTTAATCCTCTAATATTTGATTCAGTCCCAAATCTTCTTCAAGATCACAGGAATTCCCAACAAATTCCCATCCAATTCCCAGAGAGAATGAAATTTGGAACGTGGCACTGATTCCAGGGTTGTAACCAGGGGGGAGTACAGGGTGCCCCATAAAAGCTTAATCCATCTCCTTTTTTTTTTTTTTTTGGTTCTGCTTTCTTTTGGTTACCTTTTTTTTCTTTTTGGTTCTGCAAATTATTGCCTGTGCACCTCCCTGTAAGATCCCTAGTTACGCCACTGAGTTGGTAATAAAACAAACGATCAATGGTCTGATTTTATTTGATGTGCACCCTCCCTGTAAAAGTTCTGGTTACGGCCCTGGATTCCCAATGTTAGTTTGTTGGGAATTTTGTTTTTCTATTGGGTATTAGAAGGAAATTCCCAACAATAAATCCCAACGTTGGTGTTCGAATTGGAAATTCAAGGAAATTCCCAACAATTCCCAATTTGAGAATCGGTCTTTTTTTCCTGTGGATATTGTCATAGAAATGCTAGTCGGCGAATGAGACATCAAACTTAGTGGGTCATATACAAAGGTAGTAATTCCCATGCACTTGTGTAAATAGGCTCCATTYAAATATCATATTATTGACCTTTGTCTTTGCTATATTTTAGTCACACTGTATAGTGAAGAATTCACAGAACACCTTATAGAGTCTGAACTGGATAAAGTTATTGGTCACCAAGATGGATTACCATCAAAACATGATGTCATATCGTGCCTTGGTGTGGGTGGAAGATGGGTTACCTCGCAACCAGACTTACAGGTGTGTTCCKTGTGTATACAGTGCAACCCCCCTCCCAACCATTACGTAAATGTTGCTTTTAACTGCTCGATAACACACTATACACTGATTCAAAATATATGGCRACCAATTTGAACAACTAGCTTTGTGTTCATATGGAAAAATCAAAGTGTTTTCACATGTATGAGAGGCTAGTCAGTCGCCAGTCAGTACAGAACAATAGTTATTCAAATTGATATTTCGATTTGGTGTAAACCAATCATATTAGAGGTAGTTGCCTAATTTTTACAGGCAATAGGTGACTTTATCTTCCTTTAAATGCAAAATCGTATTTATTAAATATAGCCAATTCCTTTTTTCAATTTAGCTTGATCCACCAGATTCAAAATTGCTGTTTGCCAAAGGAGCGTCTCTTTGTTTTCTGTTTGAGGATGTCTGGACACTCTCTAGAGGTATTTATTTTTCATAGATTGGAATGCCATTGGATRTTCCATCTAGAAAGCCTTTACTAACTTAAAAATTTTACTAAYTTCTTTTTTTTCCAATAGGGCAACAGGGAAGATATCTTCATATCCTTTGTTTACTGTCTTTAATGAAGGGATGAGGGCCAGAACACACTTAGAAAAAAAGAAAGAAAGAAAGAAAGAAAGGGAGGGAGGAAGGAATTAAGGAAAGCAAGCAAGCAAGAAATGAATAGATGGATGGATGCTTGAATGCATGCATGCATGGGTGGGTGTGGGTGGATGGATGGATGGAAGGGAAAAGGAACTACTTGATGTCCTTTTTACTTACTTACTAGTAACAAGAGATGATCTCTCTWATTACAGCTGGTACATTATCTAGTTTTTCAAAACACCGACACCTC